TTCTGCGAATGTTCTGAATGAGTACTGCTCGTTGTCTCTCCGTTAACCGATTTACTTGTTGATACGTTTTTCTGGCTGCAAAAATTCATTTTTCCATCTGTCTAGGATTAAAAAATAATCAACCGACCTGTTTCATCACTTTCTCCTTCGATTTCCTCTTTTTTCGAGACACGTTTCGTGTCTGTGTGAATCGAAGCGCAACGTTTTGCGCGGTTCGAGACGATTGGTTTTGCTTTCACTTCGGGCTCTATATCTAGTGTAGCGCACTTGGGTACAGAGTTAATTTTACCGTTGTACATTTTACGGTACATGCAGTTTGCCTGGAATTTAGATTTTAGTGGGAATTTCAAAATTTGTTCTTGTGCCTTTTGGAGAAGTAACGAACGTACAAAGGAGCAGCTTCAGGCAGAGGAGAGATGTTAAGTCTACATTACGCGATTACTAGGTGGGCGGAGATTCACAACAGTTGTACGTCACTTACTGGTGTGCCCTTTCTTTCACTGGGCGGAGACCAACAACAGTTGTGGCGAACTCATTGGTGTGCCCCTTTCTCCGATATGGTGAAGGGTAGGGCTCGCCAGTGAGAGGGCGCGCTGTGATGATGGGACTCCGCCCATCCTATTATTGTGGAATGTTTCTTCGAAGAAGCTAAGAAAGAAAATTTCTTTCCAAATGGTATGTAAGATGAAGGAAGTGAGACATTGGAATTCAGTATTAAAGGCACTGCTTATTTTGTATGGGCGGGAACAGTCCACCTTTGTACCTTTTCACTTACACGCCTCTTTTCGGTGCAGTTCGGCGACGAAGGGGTCATTTTGCACACTTGCCCCTCCCATGAACATGCTAATTGAATTAGAAACCCGTGAAATCTTGTGAAACTAGAAATGACACCTTCCAATGTTTGTGGTCCCTCGATGAAGGCACAAGGTGGGCTTGGTTCCGCTCCTGTAGTAGACAAGAAATGTGCTTTGGAATTGTCTGAAAGAAAAGCATATATCTTATGGTCCGCTGCATCAAATGCTTCAGATCGATTTCTTCAGGTGCCAATCAGACCCGATCTATGGAAATGCCCACTCTTGTTGAAGTTGATTAGAAAAATATCTAGCTGTTTTTAGCAAGTCAGATATGCCTCTTGAACAAAAAGTTGAGTTTTAAAAGCGCTTGTTGACAACATGGGTTCAGAACGAAAGGAGAGGGTAGTAGTAGAAAGGAGGGGCTGATAGTAAGAAGAGAAGGAAAGTAGCTCGGTGCGAGAGCCAAGAACCAACTGGCTTTATGTAATAAGGAAGTCAGGAACGTGAAGATGAGGATGAGTAAGGGGCCGGATGTTGGTTACGATGATTTCCTAATTGCATTAGCTGAGTTATTTCTGTTATAAAGGTTTACTGGAGTGAATTAGCCATGCAACCATTGCAAAAAGATGTAAACACTTCTGGTTAGATGAAAAGCAGTAAAGAGAGTGAACAAATGGTTGAGGGGCGAGAAGCAACCCATAAGAAAGTCTTGTGTTTTTACGAAAATCCTGTGTTCAATACGAAATACCCGTACTTCATCTGAAGCCATTCGCCGTTTCTATGGCAGTTTCTTTTTTTGCTGACGTGTTTTGTCTGTCTGGTTACGTTTCACTTTATTAAATAATATAATATAATATTTCCTGTATCGCGTCATGGTCAGCATCTATTCCTCATCGGTTCGTTCAGAGCTTATTAGAAACTCTTTTAGCCCCACGCATTCTACTTCCGTTTGGAATCGTAGGGGCAGGTTGAGTGCGAGTTGTTCTATGCAATCGCTCTCAAGATCGAGCCGATTCTTGAATTCAGTGCGTTTTCTTGTTCTAGAGAAATCTAGTACCAATAAGATC